GAAGAAGTTTTGTGAGAAATGGTGAAGAATTGAGTGAGTTGGGTTTTCTTATATAGAGTGGTGAGGAAGAAGAAGACGCAAGATGATGATGATTGATCGGCTAGTGCGTTCGGAGGCGCCGACTGAACAGTTCTCTGATTGGGACCAATTTTGGTTCCAGTCGGGGTACACTTTTTGGTCCAACTTTCTCTGAATTGAAATCCGTTCGCACCGTTGCGATCAGACAGTCGAATTCTATTCAACGATATACTTTTCATAATTATTTGTAATACTTTTTCCGACATCATATTTTTGGGTGGTTGACTTTGACAGAGTCAAAATTGGTTTAATTGACCTTTCTCATAAAAGGTTCTCTCATTTAATTCACATCAATTATTCTCATGATTTATTTCAACAAATCATTTCAATATTTACATTCTAAACAAATTCTTTATTTACTCTTGATTTGGGTCTGTACTCAGGTTCCCAATCAAGACCACACAAATAGTCCACATATTGGATTTATCTCTATGAGACTTATCCTGATTTTGATATTAGATGTCAAAACAAATTTCATATCGGCCCAAAGCCCAACAATAATTTATTTTAATCAAAACAAATTTGATTAATTGAATTATTCATTAAAAATTTTAGGGTAAGTTTTGGGGCGTTACAAATCGGGCGTCCCCGATAAGGGCTCAGCTGAGCCACCGGTGTACCCAATTCGATTGGGGTCAGACTTACGAGAAAATATGTGCAAGACCGGTGTGTATATCATTCTTGGCCTGTCTCGCGCACAAGAATGATATTTACCAGCGTGCCAGGCCGGGCCTGTGTCACATATTGTAATATTTTTTATTATACTGAGCAAGACCGGTGTAGTAACCAGCGTGCCAGGCCGGGCCTGTGTCTCAGTCTTCCTCTTTTTTTTTAATACTGAGCAAGACCGGTGTAGTAACCAGCGTACCAAGCTCGGCTTGTGTCTCAGTCTTCCCTCCGAATTTGTTGAAGATTGTTGCATGAACGATATACTGCCATCGACTAGGCACCATTCTTTAATGGTACCAAAAATATTTGATACAATTAAATGGAGCAGACTCACTTAAATCGGAATATCTTCTGAAATTTGCTCCTCCATATTTTAATTTCCATTGTGTGAGAGTTGGCCGCTTCTGAAATTTGCTCCTCCATATTTTAATTTCCATTGTGTGAGAGTTGGCCGCTTGTGGTTTGGATTGATTTGTACTCCATGTAGTTGTCTAGGGCCCATCATCATGTGGCTTCCATTTATGAATGGAAGCACATATCTTTATGTATCTCGCATGGGCATTTGCAAGTGGACCCATGTAATTGACAAACATAAGCCTTCACATGCTCCATTGTCTATTTTTGCTGTGTGGATGATATAAACGGCCCCACTACTTAGCTTTGCACTCTTCTCCAAAGATTTTTTTCGGTTCATAGCATGTGGACTATGATTTGCATATCTTTGAATGGGCCCCTCATAATAATGAATAATTGGGTGTATGAAATTATCCAATTAATATGAATAATTGGGCCCCTCATAGCATGTGGACTCTTTATAATTATTTGGATTCATTCTGCCGAATCACGCAGCTTCCCCTAGATTTCTTCTTTCTTGGACACCCATGGAGGAGCGGCGAGGGGACACCCACAGAGGTAACACCCATCGATTTCCCCATCGTTCTCCCTCGTTTGCTGCGGCGAAGAGTGGATACTTAGCCGAGGCGGCAAGAGAACTTCACCTGGAGCAGCCCTTCACCGATGGCGGCGACAGTTTCGGGTTTAGCGATGGTGATGATAAACAATGGAAAAACTTTTACCATGGTGAGTTAGCCTCGAATGAAATGGTAATGCGCAGATCCGACAAAAGTTGCAGTGATGAACTATAGCACTGGCGGACTCCAATTGAGAGTGGCGCACAACAGCCACCTAAGTTTTTGCTGCTGCAGGAGGGGAGGGCATATCTATAACGGCAGAGAACCACGCCTAGAATACCAGGATTCCCGACAGGCCGATGAAAAGGAGTAAATGACGTCGTGCCCTCTTTTGTCAAAAAGCCCGGCTCGAGATAAGTCGGACCAGAGCCTCATGTAATCCTTGGACACCTCGGAGGCGAGGCCGTCCGGAGGTGATAGCCGGGGAAGGAATCGAGGTGCTTCCGGGCGGTGCCATGGTGGAAGGCGATGAAAGTGTCGCTGCAGTCGTGGCCGGCGAGATCGAGGATGTGGACGTCACCCCGTCACGTTGTGGACCTTTCCTGGATTAGAATCCACAGATTTTCCCTGGCGATGTGCTTGTGCAGATGGGTGTAATCCAGAGATGGGTGGACTAATTGTTCATTGTATTCTTCTTCCCTCTCCTTTTTTTTTGACGGAAGTCTCAACATAGCCACACTGGAGATAAAATTTTGTTTAATTTTCCAACGCAACTCTCTTTTCTCTCTCTCTTATCCTTTGGTAATGAAGAAACTAAAAAAAATATGGCTTTTTGCTCAGGTCCCACGGTCGGCGCCAAAATGATGGTGTAAATTATCGACCGGTATACCGTTTTTAGCCCGGCTAAAACGATAAACTAGTCTAAAAATACACCAAGATATAAACACGGGGATTTTGACGTGGAAACCCAAATCGGGAGAAAACCACGGGCCTTTTTTGGCGGTACCTTGCCAACGGGGGGATTTTTATTAATATTGGGGGTGTATACACGGTACATAATTTAAGCGTAGAAGCCGTTAATGGAAGCTTCAAAGCTTCTTGAAGAATGAAAATACAAGAATTCTAGAGAGAGAATGTAATGGGCAGGGAGAAGAATGTAAGAATGGCCTCCTCTTCACATTGGGGGCACCCCTCCTTTTATAGGAGGGAGGAGGAGCATATTCGAAGGAATATTCTCTTATTTCTCCATTTTATTAAACAGGCCCGGTTTGGCTGTCTTTCGTAAATAATTGGGAAATGTGGGCCGAGCCACGTATTATTTCCCATCAGTGCTATTTAGTGCAAATATTTCTTTTTTTTAGCCTATACTTATAATAAATAATCCGTATATATTAATCCCAACTCACACATTTATTTTAAAGAGGTAAATAATCCCTTGTAGGTATAAAGGTGGAGTTTAAAGAGCACTAATTAAATGATACTACAAAACATTACCAAAAATACGCATTTTTCATATAAAATGTATTTTGATGCCTAAATTGCATAAGTATAAAAAATATGCTCTATTGGGTAAAAATATGCAATTAAGTTATATAAAATAACTAAGAAATGGGGTTTAAAAATATAATAATTTGAGACCTAACAAGATTTCAACACCATCTCAGACTTTCTTCATCACAAGGGCTCTAATATGCCTGAGCTAGAAGCTATTAGTGATTTCAGTGACTGCATCAAGGACAACAACCTCCTTGAATTAATTACACTGGATCAGCTTATATTTGGCATGGGGTCAGAAGCAATGGCAATGTATGGCGGCGTCTTGATAGAGTTTTCTACAATACCTTCTGGGCTGATCATTGGAATATAATCTCTATGTAGCATCTTGCTAAGGGTGGAAGTGATCACTGCCCTATTTTATTCCTCTCCAAACCTGATGCTAGAAACACCACCAAATCTTTGAGATTCCAAAACATGTGGTTATTAAGAGATGATTTTAGGCAGATCTGCAAGGATAGTTGGGAGGAAATTCCTCTCCATGGGGGAATGCATAGTCTCTTCAAAAGACTTCATCATCTCAAAGAGAAACTTTCTTCCTAGAATAAAACTTATTTTGGCAACATTTTTAACATGATTAAGGAGGCAGAAACTGATGCCACTAAAGCTGAGCAGTTGTTTGAGGCTAACCCCTCAACTGATAACAAAATCCTTTATAATCAGAAATTGGTAGAACTTCAGGAAGCTCATAGGAGAGAATATGCCTTTTGGAAGCAAAAATGTAACCTTAAATGGTTGAAAGATGGAGATGCCAACACAAAATTCTTTCACAGCCTGGTGAAAGAAAGGAGGAGAAAACAGCAAATTACAAGTCTTTTCAATGATCAAGGTCAATTAATTGATAAGCCAGATGAACTGGAGGCCCTTGCAGTTACTCATTTCACTACTCTCTTAAATTCTTCAGAACCTTGCAGCTCTAGTGAAGTTTATTCACAGTTTCTTAGCACCATCCCTCATCTTATAGATCAAAATCAAAATGAATGTCTTATGTCTCTGCCCACTAAAGAGGAAATCAAAGTTACTGTCTAGGACATGGATCCTAATTCCTCTCTTGGTCCAGATGGTTACAACATCAACTTTTTCAAGCAATGCTAGGATATTATCAAAGGGGATTTAACTTCTTGCCAAGAGGTCTTCCTAGGAATTCCTCTTCCCATGGTAGCAAGTTCATCCAATATTTGCCTGCTTCCTAAAACTGATAATGCTATGAAACTCAATGATTTTAGACCAACTTGCCTATCTACTGTGGCCTCAAAGATTGCTTCTAAATGCATTGCTAATAGGCTTGGAAAGCTCCTTCATCTGATTATTTCTGAAGAACAAGGGGCTTATGTTCCAGGAAGGGAGATTATGGACCAAATTCTTATCACTAAGGAGTTGGTTCATCACATCAATAGGAAAGCTCACGGTGGAAACCTCATCGTCAAACTTGACATGGCCAAAGCTTTTGATAAGCTTAAATGGTCATACCTGATGGACATTGACGGTTAAGTTATTCGGTAAGTCAACCTTCCCAGTGAAGGGTTAGTTTTCTCCGAGTGTCGTGTCTCTCGAGGAGTGGACGAAGGGAATTAGTTAATTTTTATAACTAGACGAAGGTTTGGACAGGTCTGAAAGTCTTCTCTTTTCGATTTGATAACAAAAATAAACTAAACTAATGTGTGCTTTTGAGAAAAAGAAAATAAATAGTACGGGTGTAGAACTAGATTTTGGGCCAAGGCATCATCTGGGTTAACTACTGTTGTCACATATTTAATCAATAATTGGAATAAATATATTTCTGTCACAAATATTTCATTAACTTACCCTCTCTCAAGGCATCATTAATGTGTTCTAAAAAGTTTGACTTAATTAATTTTACATCCTCATAGACAAGGCAAAAACTAATTTTCAATTATTAATTCATTTTTCTCTCGATATAATTAATCAATTTAACAATAAAAATAAATCTAGAACGATTATTCCAACTATTAAATAAACATACAAAGTATATGCCCAAATTTAGCCAGGACCCTAATCCGGGCCCTAACCCATACTAGATATTAACAGTGCATAAAATAAAAGAACATTTTATTAAAAGTTGTAAAAATAAACTTACAACCGAGAATAGACTCGGGGCCACTTCGGGACAACCGGGACAACACTAAACTAAGAATATAAAAATATAACTGAAAATGGGGCTAGAAAAGAGGTCCGGGCCTTAGAAGACCCGGAGGAAGCTGATGATAATGGAGACTCGCCGATCCACCTTATATAGGCATCAGAATTTCCGGGGCAGGTTCTGGGCGGCCGCCAGGTAGGTAGCCCGAGCATGCCTGCGGTTTTCCGCGCGTGGTTTCGCCAAAACCGACAAAATGACGCTTGGGGTGACGTTTTCCTCTGGGGCTGGGTCTGGGGCACCCGCCTGAGAGGTAGCCTTGAAAGGAATATCCGAATATTCCTTCAAAAGTGGATGCCCGCTGTTATAATTTAGATTTGAATCCCGTGGCTGGTCCTGGGCGCCCGCCCGAGAGGTAGCCCCAGAAAATGTTTGACTTTTGATTCCAAATTTCTACGACAAGTTCCTTATTTTGTGCTGAACATTTTTCTCTTCTGGAGCAACGGACCAATTCGAGCGCAAGTATCCCGAAATATTTATTTTCTTCAAAGTTTTACTCTGTTGAATTCCTTTTGCACAATGTTTTGCACCTTTGTACCTCTTTTGACTCAATTTTTATTCTTTTTACAACAAGACATACAAATATACTGCTCAGAAAAATATCAAATATCAAATTTTCAGAAAATGCAATCAATAATTGACAATGCTCACACTCAATTTGAAGTATTGAAACAGCATCATTTTAAATGACAAGTTACAAATATTTGACCTTAACGTATTTTACAAGTTAATATTTTTCACTAAATCAATAATTTTATTTTCAACACATTAGTATTCAAATTTATTTGTTTACAAAACTTATTAAAGTTAACCAATGTGCAATTTAAAGAAAAAAATTAAAAATTTTGGCTAATTTTTACATAAGGAGACTATTAAAAATAATTCTACCTACGAAAAGAGTAAAAAAAATGTAAAACAAATGTTTTCTTAAAAAAATATCAATAGTGATAACTAGACCGATTCAGAGTAGTCGAGATCTGGCAGAATGCTGCCAATTAAGTGCTCTTAGGCTCACCCGAATAAACCTTTCCACAAAATGACCCAGTAGGAATGGTGGAACAAGTTCGGATCCCGAAGGCATCACCCTTTGCGTCCACTTAAGTACACGGTGTAGAGATCAATATTAATATGTAAAATGCAACAAGGCGTATAAAAATATTTTCAAAAAGTTTTTCTAAACAAATAAAAATATTGTGTACCAAACTCCAATCTCCCCACACTTAGGGTTGACCTCGCCCTCGAGGTCATTAAGCGATAAAAACAAGAGTTTGGGACAGAGACAATTCTCATCATTTTTTTAAAGGTTTTTACAAAAATTTTATGCACAAAATTTAGTCATTTCTTTTTTTGTTGAGTCAAAATGGTTCACCAGCATTCCTAATTCCAAGCTCCACCTGCACACACAAACACACAAAAACACGTAAAAAGGAAAAAGAAAAATAAAGTTTATTCACTTGGGTTGCCTCCCAAGAAGCGCTTCTTTAACGTCACTAGCTTGACGTTAGCCCATTTTTTACGGGACTTACTGATCCGAGAGTCATAAAGTTTGACCTTTTTAACTCTCTTATGATGCCACCTTTGTTCTGTTCTTTTCCAGTCAAAGTCCAGGATCTTTGACTCATTCCTGCGGCGTGATGGCAACATAAAAAATGGAGGAGACTCGTATTGGATGGATTGTGGTGGGAGTCTCCTCGGTGTATCCACATCATTGGCCTTCAGTGCCAGGATCTGATTTTCCAAGTCCTCAATAGGCTGACTTTCTGTTGATGGCCCGATGATTATGACATGTCCTTCCCCTGAGTCTTTACTGTCGCTCATCAAGAGTTTGTCCCAGCTCATTTGACTATAACTTTCCTTTGGGTAAGAATGGTCGTACCCGTCAAGTAGGGAGTTAAAGAAGGCTTCGTCTGAATCCTCAAGTGAGACTCCAGCATTAAGAACTTCTATAGACGGGATGGATTCAGCATCACAGGGTAGTTCCTCGTCTATAGATTGTTCGGAGTCATCTGTATCAAGGGGGTTGGTGATGGGCTAAGATTTCTCCAGAACAGGTTCCTCTAGAGAAGTGTCTTCAACACATGTAAGGAGGACAGGTTCCTCCAACGTTTCTGGTGCAGCGGGTGAAGGGGATTCCGAGATAGGACCCACGGTATGCTTCACCTCTCGTACAATTTGACTTTTTGGACTTTGAGGAAGCATCATCACTGTACCTCGTGCAATCATTTCTACAAGTGTTATCTTGTTTTCGATATACAGTGGTGATGGAGTTTGCAGATATTCAAGAATCGAGACATTGTTGGATTCAGTTTCAGATTGTGTCTCAGACTCTTTGTCCTCTTCTAGAGCAACAGCCTTCTCCATCTGAATCTGGAGAGTTTGTTGTTCCATAGCCTTCTTAAAATCTTCCAGCATCTTTTGCATCTGCTCCAAATGTTCGCGTTGTTCGCTTTCAAACTTCAACTCTTTCTGGATTTGGAGCATTTTCTTTTGTTCTTGGACTATTTTAAGAAATTGTTCTCTCGCCTGGATTGCATCTTTTTTTGCTTCGATTTGCTCTTCA